TTCGCATTCATGGCATTTATTAAGAGTGACTTCATAATAACACTGCTCACCATATATTACCAATATTACCAATATTTACATAAAAAAACTATGAAATATCACACTGTTGGTGACAAAACAAGATTATAAGTTAGTTTAACATAATTTATACAAGTCAAAAGTGCCACAAATGTGTGTGAAGGGTTAATAAGAAGGGAGCAAGTTTCAGGCCTTTATTTGTTGTTTGGCTGCGAACAACAAAGATTATATAAATAATTACGGAAAGTGCTATTCGCAATAAATTTTTTGTTAAGTATGAGGTTAGTAATGGAAATATTTTCAGTTTGTCGCACTTACTTTTTTTTTAACTTATTTTTTTTATTGGGTTTTCTGCGACAACATTTCAGTATATACACTCTTCTCTATCCAGCTGTAGACAACAATTGTACACATTATATCCAAATTAAGATTACAAGCAAGTAAGGCAAACAAACAAAAAAGAAAAAAAAGAAATATCCACTCCCAATTAAATACATTAAATATATTAAATCAAATATACACATTCAGACATTCATATATACACAAACACACATACAAATAAGCAATCAGGAAACCAGCAGGACTTACACTAAACGTCGTGCGGCACTGTGTGAATTATGTAAAAAAGGTAGTAGAGGGGGAAGGCTAACCAGTCTTATTGTATTAATAAAGACACGACAGGACTCCACCGCTTAGTAAAGATGGACTTTTGGAGCCTTAATAAGTATGTAATGTGCTCCATCTGATAGAGGTCCCAAACCTTCTGGATCCATGTGTTATATGAAGGGGGGGTTGGTTTCAACCATCTAATAGTTATACACTTCAGTGCTGCTGTAAGTAATATATTTAAAAGATATTTCTCAGGCCTCCCATTCACTCCTAATAGAGCCACAGTAGGATCTCAAGGTATATCCTGTTGGAAGACCTCTTTAAGAGCATCAAATACCTCTCCCCAGAATGTCTTTAGTTTGGGACATAACCAGAATATATGGGTATGATTGGCAGTATGTGCTCCACAATTCCTCCAGCATGAGCTGGAATGTGACTGGCTCATTCTAGATACTATTTCTGGAGTCCTGAAAAATCCAACAATTATTTTCCACTTGCCTTCCTTCCTGCGATATAACCATGTCCATTTCTGCCTCCCATCTCTGCTTTATCTGCAAGGAGTTTTGTGTATTCATGGATAAAAATATATTGTAGAATCTACTAATCATTTT